CTTTATTTTTAGAATGTGAAATGTCAGAATAATAGTAGAGAGAATGATTTATTTCAGCTTTTATTTATTTCATCACATTCCCAGTGGGTCAGAAGTTTACATACACTCAATTAGTATTTGGTAGCATTGCCTTTAAATTGTTTAACTTGGGTCAAACGTTTCTTATAGCCTTCCACAAGCCACAATAAGTTGGGTGAATTTTGGCCCATTCCTCCTGACAGAGCTGGTGTAACTGAGTCAGGTTTGTAGGCCTCCTTGCTCGCACACGCTTTTTCAGTTCTGCCCACAAATGTTCTATAGGATTGAGGTCAGGGATTGGTGATGGCCACTCCAATACCTTGACTTTGTTGTCCTTAAGCCATTTTGCCACAACTTTGGAAGTATGCTTGGGGTCATTGTCCATTTGGAAAACCCATTTGCGACCAAGCTTTAACTTCCTGACTGATGTCTTGAGATGTTGCTTCAATATATCCATATAATTTTCCTTCCTCATGATGCCATCTATTTTGTGAAGTGCACCAGTCCCTGCTGCAGCGAAGCACCCCCACAGCATGATGCTGCCACCCCGTGCTTCACGGTTGGGATGGTGTTCTTCGGCTTGCAAGGTACCCCCTTTTTCCTCCAAACATAACGATGGTCATTATGGCCAAACAGTTATATTTTTGTTTCATCAGACCAGAGGACATTTCTCCAAAAAGTACGATCTTTGTCCCCATGTGCAGTTGCAAACCGTAGTTCTTCCCTGCTGAGCGGCCTTTCAGGTTATGTCGATATAGGATTTGTTTTACTGTGGATATCGATACTTTTGTACCTTTTTCCTCCAGCATCTTCACAAGGTCCTTTGCTGTTGTTCTGTGATTGATTTGCACTTTTCGCACCAAAGTACGTTCATCTCTAGGAGACAGAACGTGTCTCCTTCCTGAGCGGTATGACAGCTGCGTGGTCCCATGGTGTTTATACTTGCGTACTATTGTTTGTACAGATGAACGTGGTACCTTCAGGTGTTTGGAAATATCTCCCAAGGATGAACCAGACTTGTGGAGGTCTACAATTTTTACTATTTGGGTTTTCTTCTTGAGAGAATATAGACAATACTGGATCAGAAATCTCACCACAGATTTTCTAAACCATCTTTGATCTCACTGTGGAGCCAATTCCATAACAATACAACTCATTCCAGCCATCAACCATAAAATAAGTATGCATTACGGGATCAAAGAAAGCAAATTAGAGAGAACCGTAGGCATTTATGAACAGTATTATTTAATGTGTCCTCCATATGATTCTTTATATAATCATGATTCATATAACAATATACAGAATTATTTTAAAATCTTTTGATGATTATTGCTTTACAGTAAAATGCATTGGTTGGATACATCTATTTATAGCAAGACAAATACATTCAAGTTACACACCAATGTCTTAAATTGAAGTTGTTTTCTTAATAACTCTATACCAAAAGGTCTTTATCAATTTGGATGAATGACCTTACGACCCTTCGCTCACAGTGAACCAGGTCACATTTACTCAAAAGAGGTTGTACGTAATTGTGTATGTAACAACAGAAACAAACTAGTGTGTGTGTGTGAGTGCAATGAACAAGTGAATGTGTGTGTGTGTTGTGTTCATGTATGCCATACAGTGCAGTCAAGTTTATGGTGACTTCCACTCAAGATCTCTTTGACAAAGGTAAACAACAACAGTGGGTATCTAGTGAGATATGACACTGTATGTATACAGAGCTATAATACACATCAGTATAGTGGAGTACAGTGTTTACTGACAACATGGATATGACCCTACAGGAGAGCCTCATCCCCACCTAGTGACAATACATTTTTAAACTGAAAGATATCTACTATTCCATTAATTTCAAAATGTATTGTTAAAATTACAAAATACACATCCCTTAGTTAATATGTAATAACAACTCAAACCCATGGCAAAAAAATGATATTTCCATGACATGAGCAGAATAACGTTTTAGGAATGGAATAAATCAAGTGAGATTTTAAAAGTGAAAGATATGGCCACTTTCTCCAAGAACACTTTTCAAAATGTCCTTGGAGTTCAGAAGAGTTGCACAATACAAATACAGGTGTAGCGCTCCCAGCATGACGCTTGCAACGCCAGGATAGTGGGTCCGATTCCCGGGACCACCCATATGTAAAATGTATGCATGCATGACAGTAAGTCGCTTTGGATAAAAGCATCTGCTAAATAGGATATATTATTATATATTACATAACACACCAAGGTCGAGTTCATTAGGCACCAAACAGAAGAAATTGACTGAAACAGGGAGCGGATTACCTGTTGTTGTTGTCGTCGAATAAGAAATGATCATTTTAGTTTCTATTGCAAAATGTTTTCCGTTGTGTGCTCTAATGAACATGACCCAGACCAGTACCAGAGAGCCTGCCCTTTGTTCATTTACCATGCAACTAAGATATAGGTGACATCATAAATCAGACCTTAATAAACAGAAGTGAACAGACCTCTGGATTTCAACAACATTCATCTGGCTTTAGTTCAATACTGACTTTACCCTCCCGTCAGATCAGATCATCACTTATCATTTGTCTTTGCACTAGCTACTACCACTGTGTGTGTGTGTGTGTGTGTGTATATGCATGTGTGTAAGCGGGTGTGAGCATGGGAGTAAACATTTGACAAGTGCATGTGTGTGTGTGCATAAGTGTTTGCTTGTACTTATATACTATCAATGCTTTCAGCAGCTTCAATAAAACTATTTTTAATGCATAATATATTGTACCATCCTTACCTGGTCCTCTTTTTATTGAGATTGCATACATGTGTTTACATTATATATACCCCACACTGCATCCAATGTCTGCTTTTCAACACAGAAAACAGTAACAACACTTTTCAACACCACCAATACCCAACACACTCACGACTGACACCGATACAGACTCCACCCTCTGTTCCCACAGCGACCCCTGAACTGGGTCATGTTCATTAGGCACCAAACAGGAGAAAACTGACTGAAACAGAGAGCAACTACTTAGACTTGTCCAATAAGAAATGTTCCTTTTCGTTGAATTTTTTTTCTCCATTGTGTGCCCTGATGAACACGACCCATAACGAGGTCAAGAAGTCAGTCAAATGGGCAGCGGGCGGCTCGACTCGTAGTTGCCAGTATTTGGAGGTCGACAGATGGATGAACAGGGTGATGATCTTACCTCATCCCGCTAAGCTTCTGCTCTGGGGGAGAAATAAATAAACACTGCCTCGTGTCCCATCATGCATTTAGAGAAGACATAATCACAGAGAGAGAGTGCCAGGAGGAGGCGAAGGAGGAGGAGAAGGATGATTTGGGGCAGGGTAGGGGGGAGAGAAGGAAGCAGTTTAAAATATCTACGCAGGAACTGCATCTCACCTTGCCCGACTGGCAGAAGAAAAGAAGCACTGAAATCACAACGAGAGGACCTCAGCTTGTGCATGACGGCTCACATTTACATAAACGCACACAACATAAATAAGTGCCATTATGCAGCACAGATCCACATCCCCATCCATGGTCCCGGTCGTGGTCGTATCTTTCTTGGTTTGTGATGCGTGTCACAATAATACTCACTCCCATAGCAACCACAGCCAGTGGCATAGGGATCCACTCTGTTTAGACCACTGGGGGGCAGCAGCAGCAGCTCTTCAGCCCTCTGAGAGACAGACTGGAGCACAGGGATGAGAGGGAACTGAACAGAGTACAAGCATTGGCCTTGTTAGGAGCTGAAGATATCAAACACACAATTAAAAAATCTCAACATGACTCAGGCGGACGAGCCTGGCTCTGGCACCTCCAACTTACAGTTTGCCAAAAAAAATCCATGCTTTTCCTCAGCCAAAGGGCCCAAGTCCTGTTCACTGTACACTTCAGCTATCTGTAAAATCATCATCCACCAAGCACCAAGGGGGACACAGTCTCCCAAGACGTGTTCTCCTCTCCACAGTGGTGCTGAATACTAATAGACACTCCCCTCCCTTCCTAGCAATCTCTCACCTACTTTCACTCACACTCAAATACGGGACACGGCGTATCATAGTCTTGTCTTGGTCAGCAGTGTCTTGCAGTTGGAGTGTGTCCAGAAACAGAAAAAGCACAGGTTCTCCCCTGGACTCTCCTCCACTTGCCAGAGAGAGAGAGAGGACTTGGCACATGCTGCCTCCCTCCCTTTCTCTTCTTATTGCACCACACAAAGGAAGAACTAGAATGTTGAACCGTAAAAATATAATATATTATATGTCATATATATACTCTACTTCTTTTCACACGCAACATCTAAAGTGCAATATGTTCATGAAATGTATGTTTGTTTTCCTTCCAAAGAAAGACGATCATAGAATAAATCAAAATAACAATAAATGAAGAATTCATAAATGTACAGAGAGGGCAGCTCGGGTCCTTTTCTTTAGTAGGGATGGATGCCGGTGAGCTGCCTGACCAAAAAAACCTCTCCCAGACCGGATGAGATACAAACAGAGGAGGAAGGTAGTGTCATGGGTTATGTTGTGGAGACTAGGAGGGTTTCAGCCAGGTGGGTTCTGTTTAGCGGTGAGCTGTGTTTCTCTCCATCTAACGGTGAGTTGGGCTCTGGAGGGAAAGACAGAGTAGCCATCTGTTCCTCTGGGTTAGTAAGGAGAATCCATTTGGTTCTGTTGGTATCGCCTCCTCTAATTGACAGCACAAAGGCATGTGTAGGTAGTGTTGTTTGGGGGACTGAGGATATTGTGGATGAATGTAAGGATCTAGGGAACTTTACATTATGGCTAGATAGTGAAGGAATGTAAAAGGGGTATAGTAAGGGCAGACAGTTACGTCTGGAATGGAAAAAGGGTGTGTAAAAGAATTGTATGTGGGACTGTAAAATTATATAAATTATTGAGTTAGTTAGTGATTTTGTTTAGATCCAGATGGCTATGTGAGTCTATAATTCAGCAGGGACTTCTGTTCCGGTCCGGTGGTGTAGGCCGTCCTACAGCTGCTCCAGACACATGGGCAGATTGACGAAGGTGAAGACGTTGTACTCGATCATGATGGAGAAACACAGGAATATGACGTACATCACCAGCACGTACACACCCAGCTTCAGGTCCAACTTCCAATGATTCACATGGATCCCCAGAACCTGCAGGGCACAGAGGGAGAGAGGAAATAGTGTAAGAGACAGAGATCATGGGAGAGGGAGAGGGAGGGAGAGAGAGACACAGAGAGAGAGAGCGAGAGAGAAAGTGCAAAGTTCAAAATGGAGAAACGTCATTTAACTCACTGTCAGAAACACAGAACCCAAAAGCAGCACCACAGAGTAGACCAGCCCTCTGCTGTTGATCATCACCTAGAGAGAGAGAGAGAGAGAGAGCGAGAGAGAGAGAGAGAGAGAGAGAGAGAGAGAGAGAGAGAGAGAGAGAGAGAGAGAGAGAGAGAGAGAGAGAGAGAGAGAGGGAGAGGGAGAGAGGGAGGGAGATAAATAATCTGAGATCTAGATCGAGATCAAGAGGCATGAGGGAAAACAGTTCCTGGATGCACTTCCTTTACCTCAGAGCCATAGTCCACAGCCATGGTCTGTATCGCCCATGGTAGCCCCAGTCCCACCAAGATATCAAAGACATTACTACCAATGGTGTTGGAGACCGCCATATCCCCAAGACCTAGAGAGAGATCGATATGGAAAATCCTGTACAGACCATACAGTATACTGGTACTGTTCTCAGAAATGTGAGAGAGAGAGAAAGAAAGAAAGAAAGAAAGAAAGAAAGAAAGAAAGAAAGAAAGAAAGAAAGAAAGAAAGAAAGAAAATAGTGCTGAACCTTGACGAGCAACAATGAGGCTGGCGATACAGTCGGGGACACTGGTGCCAGCTGCCAGAAAGGTGATGCCCATAATCACATCAGGGATGCCCAGAGTGTAGCCAATTATGGTGACCTGCACACACAGACACACATTTAACAGATTAGACAGAAATCTTCCAAATAGCATGCAAAACGAACAGCACCGTGGTTCGTGGCCTATCCAGCACAGTGTCAAAGCTTGCTAACGACTAGAGGAGAGAGCTTCCCTACCCGATTGGTTATCGTGGAGTCTCGTCACTGATCATTTCTATAAAGTTGGGACTTTTCAACTCTGGTTGCAAAAACAATCAAATTGCTCAATGTTTCTTTGCTTCTCCCAGAAAACGAGAGTGACATGTAAGCTCGAAAGAATCTCCAACATCTCACCATCCAGACCATGAAGTAGGAGAAGACAGCGATCCACACGGTGGAGAGGAAGAAGGAGAGCATGAAGAAGCGTTCCCAGCGAGGCTTGGCACAGTTTGGCACAGTGAAGTAGAGTAGCAGCAGGATGGGCCAGGAGATCAGCCACTTCACTTTCTCCATGCAGCCCCCTGGTGGAGGGAACAAGAAACAGCAGCTCATGTTCATTACAACCAATGAAGTACACTAAGGGGGTGAGCGTTCAGTTTGAGTAGTGGGTGAAAGTGTGTGAAAGCAGCTTATTGGTGTACCAGCCAATGTAATTGAAGTTATTACACACATACATGCATGCAGGCACGCACACACACACCCACCAGGGATGGTGAAGGGTGAATTCAGGGCTTCTCCCTCCTCTTCCTCAGCAGTCTTGTCCTCTGGTACGGTGCCGTTCTCCAAGGTCTCAGGTTTACCATCAGTGATCACCATGGTTTCGTTGTCCACACCATTTGACGCCTGCACCAGCCTCTGTTGCTGCTCACACACACACACACACACACACACACACACACACACACACACACACACACACACACACACACACACACACACACACACACACACACACACACACACACTCAGTGGTAGTAGCAACATCACACACCTGATTTAGTGGCCCACATGCTATTTCATGGGCTATTTATAGTATGTTTCTCTTTCTCCGAGCAATGACTTTATGAACTAGTAAAGTTTTATGAATATCCCCCAGGATATTTTGATCAATAGAGACACATACAGTGATCATATAATGTGCCAAGTATGATTGAAGCATGCAGGCCGCCTATCAAAACTTAAGTGGGCTAATTATCACTCTAAACTGTACACCAACATCGGACACCCCCTAACTTCGGACACTCTCTAGCGGTTGGAGGACAAAATCACCTCGAGTTCAACATTTAAATGGACTGGAAAATAACGGTAAGTTTTGCGACTAAAGACACCCTTCTAGCTAGCTGACCACCGATTTTCAGTGCAATTTATGTAAGTTAAGTTAGGTTTTGAGAGTTTTCAGAAAAGTTATATACATACACATTTTGTGGGACACGCTGCATATTGTAAAATTCGACTGCGCGACAGACCACACCTCATTTAATGTCCAACTTTTTACCTCTGAAATATAGCAAACAGATTTTCTAACGTTGCTAGCTTAGTTGCTAAATGTTGATAGAACTGCTAAGTAAGCAAAAAGGAAATAAATTGTAAGCATTAGATAATACATATCACAAAAACAGCTGAATGTTGTCAAGCTTTACCTTTGACCTTTGACGGGGGTGTTTTACACAATCTGCAAAAACTAATTTTGAACTTTGAACCATTAACTTTTTGACACCTATCACTGTTGGCTATGTTTAATCTTACAACAGCTACATATAGGCAGTATTTAGTCAAATGTTACAATGTATGCATCAATATTAAACTAATTGGGACACTAATTTTAATTACAGATAACATCAAACAAAAAACGTGGGTACACTTTCAGTTATTGTGAAAACTTTCATCATCACCTTTCAATGCCTTAGCTTTGAAATGTACATGTTTATACATATTCAGATTGAGTTAGCTTTCTAAAATGTGTATAGTATGCCAAGTTATTTAGCTACAGTGGGGAGAACAAGTATTTGTATGCACGCATGACTGTAAGTCGCTTTGGATAAAAGCGTCTGCTAAATGGCATATTATTATTATTATTATTATTATTATTTATCATAGGTACACTTCAACTGTGAGAGACGGAATCTAAAACAAAAATCCAGAAAATCACATTGTATGATTTTTAAGTAATTAATTTGCATTTTATTGCATGACATAAGTATTTGAAACATCAGAAAAGCAGAACTTAATATTTGGTACAGAAACCTTTGTTTGCAATTACAGAGATCATAAGTTTCCTGTAGGTCTTGACCAGGTTTGCACACACTGCAGCAGGGACTTTGGCCCACTCCTCCATACAGCCCTTCTCCAGATCCTTCAGGTTTCGGGGCTGTCGCTGGGCAATACGGACTTTCAGCTCCCTCCAAAGATTTTCTATTGGGTTCAGGTCTGGAGACTGGCTAGGCCACTCCAGGATCTTGAGATGCTTCTTACGGAGCCACTCCTTAGTTGCCCTGGCTGTGTGTTTCGAGTCGTTGTCATGCTGGAAGACCCAGCTACGACCCATCTTCAATGCTCTTACTGAGGGAAGGAGGTTGTTGGCCAAGATCTCGCGATACATGGCCCCATCCATCCTCCCCTCAATACGGTGCAGTCGTCCTGTCCCCTTTGCGTCACCCCATTTATCATCTACCCCAAGTGTTTCCCCGGTGGCCACTACACACTGGGAGGCCCCCCCCCCCCGAAGCCTTGTATGGACGGTCAACAGTGGCTACATTGACGGGGACCTGTTCAGGAAGTGGTTTCAACACTTCATTAAGCATGCAGTGAAGGAGCGCCCTCTCCTTCTCCTCTTCGATGGGCACAAGAGCCGCATGGACCCGGAGGTGCTCGCGGCGGCACTAAGGGAAGGGGTTATACTTCTTTGTCATCCACCACACTGCACCCGTGTCCTGCAGCCGCTAGACGTGGCATACTTTGGCCCTTTAAAGGCTGAGTTCTCCAATGTAGCTGACCACTCCTACATGGCAAACAAATCAGAATTTGCCAGAGTATTCCGCTACCCGTACCAGTGCTGCAAGGACATGCGCTATGTGGTGGAAGGGTTTAAGAAGTGTGGCCTCTTCCCTTTTGACCCTTCAGCCATTGAAGGGTTCCCGTTTAATGCCGTCTCGGTCCCTACCGGGTCCCACCACCGCCTCTACTGGAACCAGCAGCACTGTGCCGTCCATCAGCACCTCCTCCCCAGTGATCACAGGAGGACCCTCAGCCCCTGCTCCAGTCCCAGCCCTAGCTCTAGAAGAGCACCCCCTAATAGAGTGGGGGCTGATAGCAAAGGACCTGGGGCACATCCTTACTGTCCTGAAGTATCAGCCAGACCGATACAGAAGACGCCCTGTGGTTGCCACATGCCTCACCGGGGAGGAATACACGCGCCAGTGACAGGAGATGGGTGAGAAGGAGAAGGCCGAGGCAGAGGAGAAAGAGCGTTGGGCAGCCCTAAGAACACAGAGGGCACAGGAGAGGGCTGCCATGGATGAGACCATCGACGCCATCGCCTCTGCTGGACCTCCTGCTGGAACCACTCCTGACAGCTGCATCACCACTGCCAGTGCCTCCCAGTGTGCAACACCTGTAGGAGCCGCTGGAGTCCCCAGCTGCAGAAGAAGGCCACATGCCTACTCTCCCAGCCACACCATCGTTGGCCCCTCAACCCCACCATTACAAACACCAGCTCCTCCACGCCATCGTCAGCGGTTTTGTCCACCACCACCACGATGCACACCACCCCCCCTGTCTGTCACCACCAACACGGCCTCCTCTGGACCAACTGCCTCCTCCGTCTCCCCTGGTCACACCACCATAGCAGCCTCTTCTGGTGTCCCTGCCCCCTGCAATTTGTATACAGCCACCTCCACCGGTAAACACATGTTAAATTACGAAATAATGACTTATCTGTTTTATAAAACAGCAATGTAAAAAATGTATCTCTCTTTACATATCTACAGTCCATAGCACCAGTCCTCAAGTCATCTCCACCTCCTCCAAAACTTCTGCAGCTTCCTCCAGAGGTATTGATGTAAAAAAGTTGAAAATGGTTTTCATGAAACATGCTCTGTCTAACACTACTTTTTCTCAAACTGCAGCACAGAAAAGGAAGAGAAAAGCTCCACCGGTCACGTCTGTCACGCCACCCATGGCACCACTCTCAGGTACTTCATAATCTGTTTCTCTCTCTCAGTTGTATCAATTACTATTGTTGTTGAAGAACTTCTACATTTTGCAAAACCATGTTAATCAATTTGATTATTATTTTATTTTTTATAAAAGAAGACACCACCTCGCTGCGGGGAGCATGATCCGCCTGCAAGCTCCCCTCAGGAGTGTAGATCCAAGGTGCCATGGGTGTGCTGTGACCTCTGCCAGCACTGGTTTCACTGCAGGTGTGTGCAGTCGGATCCAGAGGTAGCGGCGGAGCTGGATTTTTATTGTGATTTTTGTGACAATATAGGGATGGAGGTCGAGATTTAATTGTTTGATTTGTTTGTGTTCATATTAAATTATTTATTTGTACAGAAAAATACATGTCTAAAATATAATTAATATTTATTCAACCCATCTTGTGTATTTCTTCCTTTACTTTCCAAGTGCATCTCTGCAACACAAACTCCAACAGTGTTTTCATTGTTTATGTCAATGCACATTACTGAAATTAAAGTTTTATTTGATGTAAATTATACTCATTTATATTTTAGTATTCAACTGTTATCTACTTTCTCAAAACATAAAAACAAATTATGAGACATTATTTGGTTACAACACTGAATATGTTGGTGAATAACCATTTTTTAAGAGTCCACAGGAGGGGGCACCGGGCTACGCAATAAAAAGTTGACAGGCAAGTCATAATTTTTTACCGGAAGGCTAGCCAACTAGTCAACTATCTAGTAAATACTTTGAATACGAGGTTGGTGTCTCTTTTTTTAGCTAAATTAAACGGATATATCTTGTAATTGATACAAATAGTAAGGTGGCCAATAACTGGGGACCGTATGCCGATAATACGGGACGTATTTTTTTGCTAAACCAAAAAGCTGATAATAGTAGTATTTACACTGAATTGTCAAACATGCTAATTGCTAACCCATTAGCTAACATTTTTACGACACCAATAATCACAAAACTTTGATGGCTTGATCACAAGATAACACTGTTGAAGGTAATATATTTCTTAAACGCTGTTGAATATGCCGATAATACGGGGTTCCACGCTAGCTTTCTACAACAGCAAATCGTCTTACACTGTAGTTTCTCTCTAATCTCTGATTGGCCAAACTTTCTACACTTCTAAGTAAATCACTTTAACTGAGCTCCTCTCCAATCGGCCTGGCTTCTATACAATGTAAGAAGTCAACCCCATGGGAAACTTTAACCCCTTCTGTAACAACTACATGTTTGGGTCCTGTGTCAAACCTCCTCAGCCTGACCCGCCTGACTGACCCTGTACCCTCTGACCCCTAACCCTTGACCCCAGTGACCTCTCCCACCTCATTGATGATGAGGCGGCTGGCCATGCGGAGGCGTGTCTTGGGGCCAAAATGGTTGGTGATCATGATGCGCAGGCCGGCGTCGGGGAAACTGTAGTTAGGAGGACTGGAGTTGATCATCTCATCCACCATCACCACAGATCCACGACTGTACATTTTAGTGGGCTTCACTGGAGACACAGAGATGGTGAGACAGCATAGACAGATGCATAAAGTAACTTTAGACTAACTGTACACACCAAGCACCAGAAGAAGAAGAAGAAGAAGAAGAAGAAGAAGAAGAAGAAGAAGAAGAAGAAGAAGAAGAAGAAGAAGAAGAAGAAGAAGAAGAAGAAGAAGAAGAAGAAGAAGAAGAAGAAGAAGAAGAAGAAGAAGAAGAAGAAGAAGAAGCATTACAGAACCACAAAGGTAGGTACCCACATTGACATGCCTTTACAAGGATGGCCAGACACACCTGCCTAATACACCCACATGCCAGACCAGCAAACTCTATCTCTCTCTCTCATGCACACCCACACACGAAAACACACGAACGCACGCATGCGCATACACACACACACTCACATACCAGCCGAAGGATACAGTATGTCAGCAGGTGCAATTAAAGTGGTTGTGTGACAGCAGCAGAGTGAGCCCCACTGGGCCCAATTCAAGGCCCATTTTTACATTTACATTTACATAATTTAGCAGACGCTCATATCCAGAGCGACTTACAAATTGGTGCATTCAACTTATGATAGCTCTGTTCTCCTGAGTGGCGCAGTGGTCTAAGGCACTGCATCGCAGTGCTAACTGTGCCACTAGAGATCCTGGTTCGAATCCAGGCTCTGTCGCAGCCGGCTGCGACCGGGAGACTCATGGGCGGCGCACAATTGGCCCAGGGGAGGGAATGGCCGGCAGGGATGTAGCTCAGTTGATAGAGCATGGCGTTTGCAACGCCAGGGTTGTGGGTTCAATTCCCACGGGGGGCCAGTATAAAAAAATATGTATTCACTAACTGTAAGTCGCTCTGGATAAGAGCGTCTGCTAAATGACTAAAATGTAAATGTAAAATGATAGCCAGTGGGACAACCAGCTTTATTTTTTTTATTTTTTTATGGGGGGTGGGTGAAGAAGGATTACTTTATTCTATTCCAGGTATTCCTTAAAGAGGTAGGGTTTCAAGTGTCTCCGGAAGGTGGTCAGTGACTCCGCTGTCCTGGCGTCGAGCGGGAGCTTGTTCCACCATTGGGGTGCCCCATGAAGGCCCCATGAAGACGCTGTCAGATGGGATCATCAGCCACCGGAGTGACACACACTAAAACCTTCAGTGTGTGCGTGTGTGTGACAAACAATAAAACCTCACAAATCACCACCCCCGAGGTGCAGGGGAGTGAGCCAACTGCCAGGACAGATTTTCTTTCGATATATACACACACACTCATACAGACACAAACAGGTACACACACTGGTACACACACACATCATACATACAGGTACACACACATCATACATACAGGTACACAGACATCATACACACAGGTACACACACAGGTACACACACATCATACACACAGGTACACACACAGGTACACACACACATCATACACACAGGTACACACACAGGTACACACACATCATACACACAGGTACACACACACGTACACACACATCATACACACAGGCACGCAGACATACACATTCCTGCACAGCCACGCACCAACACCAACACACACACCATTACACATGCATGTACATCAGTGGAGGCTGGTGGGAGGAGCTATAGGAGGACGGGCTCATTGTAATGGCTGGAATGGAATAAATGGAATGGTATCAAACACATCACAGATATGGAAACCACATGTTTGACTCTGTTCCATTGATTCCATTCCAGCCATTACAATGAGCTCCTATAGCTCCTCCCACCATCCTCCACTGATGTACATGTTGTGACTCTGAAATAATGGACTGTACTTGACACAGCAGAAGAGGGTGAGACATGGAACTGTATAGCACACCACATCACTACACAGCATGGCAATACATGTCACAGCTCACAGACCAGGTCACAGCAGGCAGGTAGGTTTAGTAAGGCTAAACAGACAGGCTTCGTTACAGTAGCGACAGGGCTGCCACACGGCAGCACAAGTTTAGTTTGCGTCTACTAGACCATACAGGAGAGGAGAACTCTGAAAGATAGCACAGCCTCTATCACTGAGAGAAGATCAGAGTCACTCGGAGAAAGACACAAAGTCTAAAATAGAGTAATAGAGAAGATATGTATGTAACTCTGTTTGAAGGATCAGAGCTAAGAGTTTCCAAAGAGGAACGAACAACATCAAGCCAAAGGGAGGAGATGGTGGAAAGGACTTTTGACAATGTTAAACCAGATTGGAAGAGCCAAGAGTAGAAGCTAAGATTAGCTTCTAGGTTTGCCAGGACAGCCAGATACAGTAGAGTAGTTGTTGTGCTAGAAGGTCAGTCAGAGTGCCAGAGGGTTGGCTGAGAGGTGACCATAAAGCCTGTCTGGTTACCCTTACCTGGAGAAAGTAACGGCTTGGACGGATCATCCCATATGTAACTGTCATAACAAGCATTACCATCCTCCAGCTCGCTGCTGATCACTGTGTTACCGTTGGCCAAGCTCTTGTCCTCCTTCCCTGTGAAATAGTTCTGGATGCTGGTGTTAAATCTGATGCGAGAAAAGAGAAAAGGTTTTACATCTTCAGTTGAGAGTTTATACACAGTACAGTATACTCAACTTATATTATATACTATATGTGGATTTTACTATTTGTAGCGTGTGCTCGTGTGTGTGTGTGTGTATGTGTGTGTTTGTGTCTTTGAGGCGGGAAGGAACAGGTCCCAGTGGAACTCACTTCATGATCAGAATGTACCCAAAGTACATCACTACTAGCACTAAGCTCTCCCACCTGCAGAGACAGACAGAGTAGAGTCAGAATGTCTGCAGGCGCATACACATACACAAGCACACGCACAAACCTCCTGCTGAGACACAAGGGAAACACACATCAGGGTACTCACCACACTATCTTCTCATCGTAAATGACCTTGGAAAATGAAAGAGGGAAAAGATACTTACATTAAAGTTCATACTTTCAAGGGGAAGGAGCATCAACTTTACTTTTCTTATAAAGAAACTAAACTCTAACTTAGAAACACTTGAATGTTGCGATGCATAAAGGGTGCAGTTACTATCACAGACTGATGGCTATGAGAAAGTAGCATAGTCAAAGAACGGTTCCTATACTGTTTACATTAAAAGTGCTGTCTAGAGTTTCTAAAGTCTCTGTCTCTGTGGGGGGGGAGGGGAGGAGAGGATAGGGGAGAAGAGAGAGAGAGAGAGAGAGAGAGAAGAGAGAGAGAGAAGAGAGAGAGAGAGAGATAGAGAGAGAAGACTCGAGAGCTAGAGGAGAGAGAGAGAGAGAGAGAGAGACTTCGTCTCTGCTCTCTATATATCCTCTCTTCTCCTCTCTCTCTCGCTCTCTCTCTCGCTCTCTCTCTCTCTCTCTCTCTCTGTGTACTCCCTTCTTTCGCAGAGCAGAGGAATGGTCTGTCTATCGGCCCGCTGGGTCTCTGTCTCTCTATGAGCCCAGTGGGCTAGACAGTAAATGAAGGTTAAAAAGCCACTAGGGGCTCTCAGTCTGAATCGCCTCATTATGTAAAGTATGATAGTGTGAAAAGGTATGCACTTTATTCTACAGTACAATACAGGGGTCGTATTTATCAAGTGTCTCAGAATAGGAGTTCTGATGTAGGATGTTTTGCCTTTTAGATCACAATGAATAGGATTACATGGACATATGGGACCTGATTCTTGATCAGCACTCCTAAACTGAGATGCTTGATACATATATCCCCAGTTCTTTCTATATTACAGAGAACCCCAGACACACACACAAGCAGCTGCCAGAACAATCTCCTCCCCACAACCCTCTATGAGCCCAGTGGCCTAGACAGTCTGAATGGCCTCATTATGTAAAGTAGACTAGAGATTAGATGATCAGCTACTCACTGCAATCAATGCCAACACAGACAGGGTGTAGTAGAGCGAGTCGCGGAACACTGCAAACTTAGTCAGATACACCACCTGGAGGAGAGAGAGAATAAGACAAAGGGAACAGAGAAGGAAAGAGAGTGAGAGAGAGCGAAAGAGAGGAGAGGAAAGACAGAATGAGACAAAAATAAGAGAGATGGAGAAGAGAGGAGACAGAGAAAGAAAGAGCGAGAGAGAGGGAGAGATGGTGGTGACTGAGGAAGTGTGAAACTGAATCTGCATTCCTTTTGTGCATGTCCTTAGATTAAATACTAGGTCAACAAGTCATATTCACTGTATTCAACGGGCACATTCACTATGTCAAGTTGCTCCATGAACCATAGAGATAGACTATCCTCTTGGCCATTGTGGTCAGATCACATGAGTCATGTGCTATGTTATTGTAACCTTGTAACCTTGATGCTGACATAATATCAACCTTGCTGTGATATGTGACTCGTTTCAGGAAACTAGGCTTATGTCGCGCGTCACTACTTCACAGGAGAGGCATTTGAACTTTGTTTTTTTGGTAGAAATGCCTTCTGGAACATGTGAACATTCATGTGCCTTAATAACAAACTTATATGCCATCTGTAAATACGAATGACATTGTTAAATTACGAGCTGTTTTAGCCACAGAAAAAGACAGGAACCTTCCCGCTGGCTGAGATAATGGATGGGCTGGACATGCCGAGAGATGAGATCGGATTGGTCTGCCATGTAGCAGGCTTCTGTCTATAATATGAGCTGCTCAGTATGTGTAGTTAATCCTTTCTAACGCGTCTTTTTTGAAAGATATCACAAAGAATTGCAAAAGTGTTGATAATGCTCTCCACTTTCTGGAGGACTGAGTTTTGAAATCAGTGGAATGCCCAATGGAAGCAGAGTATGAAAGCTAAGGAGATGGAGAAAATTCAGGCGTTTGATTGCAAATATGCGGAGGGAGTCGAAAAGAGAACTCACAGAAGGCTGTTGTATAAAACACCTATCTCCGGATTACATCTTAAAACTAAGGGCAACCATGGCATCCGTGACTGAGAGGGAGAAGCATTCATCAATGTATATGGGTAAGAGAGTCTAGCTAGCTACATTTTTAGATATTATATGTTTCTAATTTTGTCAGAAAGTCATTTTCATTGCAAGTTAAAGTGTACTGTTAGCTAGCTAACGTTAGCTGGCTGGCTGGCTGGCTAGCTAACATTACATGTATGATCTGTGTAGTAATATTATTCGTATCTCAAAGCCATTTGCATTGCTAGTTAAAGCCTAATGTTAGCTAGCTAGCTAAAATTGAACCTAGTTGGTTAGCTTTAGCTACCTGTAGATTAATGCAGGGTAGTAACGTTATGAATTGGGATTATGGTTCATTGTTTTGCTAGCTAGCTAGCTACATGTCTAAACAAAAGACTCCACTGCAAGTAACCATTTCACTGTACCGTTTACACCTTCTGTATCCTGTGCATGTGACAAATAAACGTAGATATTATTTGATAGTGTGTGTTTATCAGCGACGGTAATGTGAAGAATAATATGACCTGCACCAAAGTCAAATTAGGATATAATGTTAGGCCAACGAGACAGCGTCCAAGTTTTAAAATTCTCCGGTAGAATGCCCTGCTTTTATTTCGTCACACTCACAACCGTAGGCTATTTTCTGTAATTAGCTTGCCATTAACTTGTAAATAATGATCTTGTTGTGAGTTTATTTTAATGAATACAAAGTATCCAAAGTGAAGACATTGTCAGCTATATGATATGGTCATTATTTGAACTGGCTAGCCAGCTAACTTAACGTTAGCTAGCTAGCTAAAAAGCTAGAAACGAACATAAACATTGTTTAGAAAGTTGCTTTTAGTTGCCTGGTTTGCTAGATTGACATATACTACATTAATTTTTAAACGGATGGGTTTATAGGTGTTCAAATACACCTGTTATGCTATTTTGGACCACCAGGCTGCTGATGTCATGCAGCCTGTCATTTTTGTGTTTAACACTTTTTCATAACGACAACGACAAGTTTAATGTCGGACAACAATAGAATGTTCATGATGTCACTGCGACAACTGTATACATACATGTCAATAGACGTAGTATAAACCTGCCTTTAGTCTTGAAATCTTTGGTTGTTTAGTACACTACCGTATTCACTCTGTTTAGCACATGGCCTCACGTGTGAATCCTTAAAGAGTTGGGTGGGGCTAAGGCTTAAGAGGGTGTGAACGATGCTGAATGGGTGTAGACAAAAAAGAGCTCTCCAGTTGGTGTACCAAAACATTCAATGGCCATTTTCTAAAAAGTGGGGTTACAAGTTGATCAACTTTCAAAGCAGAATTACTTTCCCATTGTTCCTCAACTGTAGTGTATGATATACCATTTTGTAGCTCTAAGTCTCTACTTTTATCCAATGTAAAAAACACAATTTCAAATGTTTCTACATAAGACTGAATCCAGCAGGTCAGTCACATGTGATTTAATAAAGGGTCCATTAGCACTATTGAGGCTGAAAGGTTAAGAAAAACATAGGTACTGTCCAAGTCAAGGACACCTTGTTACAATAGCTACAGTAATATCTATGCAAAATATGCCATTTAGCAGACCATTTAATCCAAAGTGATTTACAGTCATGCTTGCATACGTTTTACGTATGGGTGGTCCCTGGAATCAAAGCCACTTCTTTCTAATTGATTGTGTGTTTTACACGTGAATTTTGTGTTTTACACATGCTCTATCAACTGCTCTTACCAACTGCTCTACCAAATGAGCTACAGAGGACCACAATAGTACGGTAGTGAGATGACTAAGGGTGGCGCAAGGTCACAGAACGTATGTCAACCCAGCTGGTTCCATTAAAGTTAACAAGTAATACAAACTACTGAAGCAAAACCCATTAGTATTCTCCTTTAGAAAAAAAATGCACAAGTTAAAAACCTTCAGCAGCTACAAAACAAAGCAATGTTCAATAACGGAACTCAGTGCTCTCATTGTTTCTGGGTTGTCACTATTTATCACAGCCACAAAGCCATAATTATGGTATAACCCTGCCTATTTCTACAAACTACACTGCTAACCTTATGTCTAACCCTAACCTTAAACGCAGTGTAGCACTTACCTCTCAATGCCAGAAACCCATATAATAGTAACTTAGAGCACCCCAAGAAAACATTCACAAATGACAAACTCTTAAATAAATTGTTATAATATTATAATGTTGTTCTGAAAGTTGGGTTTGAGGTTTTCTCCAAATCAGCTTTAACTTCAGAAAAAATCCCACAACGCCCCGCGGTCAGCGTCACACGATGAATGCAAAACTTTGTAAAAATTGGAATACATTTGTGAGAATTAGGCAGGTGAATGGGGTGTCTACTTGTCAATCTTCGAGGCACATTTCATTCCTGAGAACTTCCACGGCTATCAACAATGGAAGGAATGCTGGGGGCTGCGCATTGGCTAATTCGGCCATTCTGTGGCTCTGGGGGATTTTTTTATACAGCCTGCCGACTGCGGGCAAACTAAAATGAGACGCTTCGGCCATGGATCTGATCGCTGATCTGGTGGCATTTTGGAGAAGCCCCAGAGCCATGCTTTCTTTGGAGGGATGGATTGTGAATTTTGCTAAAGTTTATTTGATGATTTTAGGATAATGTTGCCACAGTTGTTTCTTGTAAAAGACGCAGATGTTAACGTTAGCTTGCTAGAGCTAGCTATACTCTTCCTCCGTTTCTGAATGAATTTGTGGCTATTTCTTTCTAGCTAGCAAAATATGTGAGCTAGATTTGGCATATGTCGATAACATAGCTAAATTTGTCACTGGTATGGGCTAATAAATATCCTAAACCTAGCCAGCTAGACGACAAGCTAAAACCGTGGAGAGGGAGGAGAGAATTCACTTTATGATTCATCTGCTGCTGGCTTGCTAATGTTCACTCAAATACGTATTTCCACATGTAATTGATGAAATATGTTCTGAATATTGTAGAAAAATCCTCACAGCCGTTTTCCATACTAAAAAGTGAACTGCCACTTACAGCTTACCATGTACAGTAGGCTACACACAATATGTTCCTCCACAGTGTGAGTCATAGAAATTACAATCTTGCTTTCCGGCAGTCTCCGTGGTTTTTATATGCAGGGAGCATAAATGATACAATTGTAAACTAACAAAACCCATGTATATTAGTTAATATACAGCGCCAAACTACATAAATACATGTTAGAGTCCATTATCTGCTACCTGGAGTTTGAATTAAGACCAAAAGGCTCTTTTTTTTAAATGAATTTTGGCAATATAGCCAATTTCGACTTTGTGATTGTGGTAACTAGTGACAACTAGTGACAGGACTGTGCTCGCTTGTCCTGTCAAAAGCAGTTGAGAGTCTTTAAGGCTGCAGGCAGCACTTTAAACACAACCAGACCAGTATGGCTTTTTGCTCTGTAGCAGTTATCAGACAAAACACAGTTTAAAAACATGATGACATAATCCTGTCAGTTTAAGTTGTTTTTGGCAACCAATAAAATATAATGGGGGCATCTGCCTGGTACACAAAAGGAAGCAAAACTAAATGTGTGTAATACAGTAGGCAGGTCGTTCCACGAAAAGAGTGCCTTTTGCGTCCCTTTGATATTTTAAGTAGAAATTGTGCACCAATATTGAATTTTAAAAGCTTGTTATAATAAATGAAGTGCCCTTTAATATAGACCACATGGATAATTCAATAAATCTTTAATCTTAAAAATATAAATATATATATGAATAAAGGCTTGCTAAAAAGGATTTTAACCCACTTAATCCCCACATTTCTTCAAGTTTCACCATTATTGCAAAGCCCTAGTTATGTTGTTGCTTTGACAAAGTCATTTCTGAAGATTATAATTGACTTTTTGTGATTAGTGATTCATTTACGTCTGAACTGAACTCTCGTTTCAATATTCCTTTTAAATATTTTTTTTCAAAAGAAACATTGGACATCTAATAGTCAAATCATAGTGTAAAAGCAGGTGAGCTGGTTCTACTCTTTTTGGCCACTGTTTTGTGGAAGAAAACTGAGTGGGTCGAGCATAACACGTCAACACTGTTACCCATAAATACAAAGGCTAGAAATGTTTTAACACAAAAAATAAATTGTGAAGCTTGCGTTCAATTGCCCCTCCCTTCTGCACACAACAAGCTTCCATTCCACCTATCACAAGGGGGATTTATGGCTGATTTAAGAAGAAATCATCAAACCTGTTACTGTCAACCTTGTTACCTTATTTGGCACTTAACAGGCACTAACTATAGTAATTTTTTTATTTAACCTCTTGAGATGGGAAAACATGTTTTTTTTAATGAAGTTGAACATGTGCTCTTTATGACAGAGTGTTACAATTAGGTGAAATGGTGGAATGACCCAGGCCTGTATACATCTAATACTGAATGTGTTATTTGGGGCATAAAATAGCATGTGTTGTAGCATGTGAGTGTAATTTGTGATTGACACAATGGTCCCCTTCTGGCAGTGTGCAACAATACAGACTGAGGCACATGGGGGTCACGCTCACGCGCACGCACACACACACACACACACACACACACACACCTGTCCAGCGAAGATTCCGCACACACCGATGATGCATAGAATGTTGAACACTGCTGAGCCCACTATGGTTCCAACACCCACGTCTCCATGAGTGATGAACACACCTTCAGGAGAGAAGGAGAAAGAGAGTGAGGGGGAGGACAGAGCGAGAGCAAGAGAGAGAAAGGGGGGAGGGGAGCGAGAGCAAGAGAGAGAAAGGGGGGAGGTGAGAGAGAGAGAGACAGAAAGAAAAAGGGAAAGAGAGATTAAGAGAGAGTGGGAAAGAGAGAGGCAGTTATCATCCCAATATGATCGCCTCAACATTGATCTGAAACCTATATACCAATGTAGTGCATTGAACATACAGTCTACATACTACTGACTGTATTTCACCTGCTTGTATGTGAGAATGTTTGCACTTGTACAGTATATACTGTAAGTGTGTTAGTGTGAGAGAGTATAAGCCAATCTCACCTATAATTGAGGCGAACAGCTCTGGTGCTGAGCTGCCAGCAGCCATGAAAGTAGCTCCTGCCACGTCTTCACTCAGGTCCAGTTTCTGACAGACACACAGAGGGAGGAAGCACAATCTCACACTGAAGCCTCATGCATCAAACATCAAAACACAAACACATCACATCAACACGTCAATAACGTGGGGAGAGGAAGGAGTTTTATGACCTAGAGGAGGTTGTTATAGGACCCCAATTCACCCACCTCACAGATCTTCTCCAACGACATCACAAAGTAGTCATCGCAGACGATGGCCAAGGCCAGAAACATGTAGAGGGCCTGAGAAAGACAGAGAGAGAGTGATAGAGAGCGAGCGAGGAGAGAGAGATAGGGTGTCGAAAAAAAGAGAGAGAGAGAGAGACAGGGGGGTATAAAAGTGAGAGAGATAGAGAGAGAGAGAAAGCGGGAGAGAGGTAGAAGAAGAAAAAAGAGAGAGAGAGGGTTAAAGAGGATATAGTGCTGTGCAAAATGAACACTACTATACAACAACACTGAGTTAGAATAGACGCAATTATATCAGCCTCACTGTACACACATCCTGCTATCCTCTATCCTGCCCTCACAAAGTAGTCTTTCCCCCCAAAGAAAGAGGAGAGTCAACTGAGGCTGCATGTTTGATGTGCCTTTTGTTGTGTAAGGCTGTGATGGCCTGCCCAGGGGGCGCTGAGCCTAGGTACAAACCAAACCTTGTTGTTCACAGCACAGCCCAGGACATCACATAACAGGAAGATAACATATCACAAACAATGACACAGAGTATTTATAATTGTCATAAAACTGTCAATCACAGAGCCACACCACTTATCCCAGATGAAGACGTCAGGACTGAAGATAACATACTGCCTAGTAGTGCCTACGGACCAGTACATCACAGCAGGGTCATCGTTTGTCCAAAAATGTCTGCACGGACGAACACACATGTAAGCTAGAAACATGCACGCATATATGCAAGCATGCACATACACACACAGTCAACAACACAGGCCTGATTTACTGAACCACATGGAGTTTAGCACACACACACATCCATCTCCTACCGCAAATATGTGCAGCAGGACAGCTCCTCTGGTGCGCTGGTAGGTGGTGAAGACATCCTCAGGGAACTCATTGATGGCTGAAAGAAAGCATAGACATCTCCAAAGTCATGGGTTGGTCTTACAACAACACAAACAGCAAAACACTAACTATAGAGTTCCAATAAATAACTTGGGCCTAAAATGGCTCTGAAAAAACAACAAGAAGCATTCAACATAATGTAAAAACAAATGTAGGGCTATTTTGTCAGCAACAGTTCTGTACCAGGCATTTTGCCACTTTAGAGTTATCCAAATATATTTGTGCCTTGATCACACTCAATGTCCTGCCTCAAAGAGCGAGATGAGTCTGAAAGTCCTGCCTCTTCGAATCACACATTAGGAATGTGACCAAAATAGCTTTTTACCACCTGAGGAACATTGCCAAGGTGCGGCCATTTCTCTCTCAGGCTGATACAGAGAGACTCATCCATGCTTTTATTACAAGCAGGCTTGACTACTGTAATGCTCTCTTGTCTGGTCTACCCAAGAAAGCCAATGGTCAACTGCAAAACATACAGAATTTTGCAGCAAGGGTACTGACCAAGACCAGACAGAAAGAACACATTACACCGGTTTTAAGTGTCTGCACTGGCTGCCTATGCGTTTTAGAATTAATTTAAAGATTCTTCTATTGGTTTTTAAATCAATCCACGTTTATGCACCCCAAAACATGTCAGACATGCTTTTTAGTTATGTACTGTGGCTTGCGAAAGTATTCACCCCATTGGCATTTTTCCTATTTTGTTGCCTTACAACCTGGAATTAAAATGGATTTTTGGGGGGTTTGTATCATTTGATTTACACAACATGCCTACCACTTTGAAGATGCAAAATATTTTTTGTGTGTGTAACAAACAATAAATAAGAAAAAGATAACAGAAAACTTGAGCATGCATAACTATTCACCCCCCCCCCCCCCAAAGTCAATACTTTGTAGAGCCACCTTGTGCAGCAATTACAGCTGCAAGTCTCTTGGGGTATGTCTCTATAAGCTTGGCACATCTAGCCACTGGGATTCTTTCCCATTCTTCAAGGCAAAACTGCTCCAGCTCCTTCAAGTTGGATGGGTTCCGCTGGTGTACAGCAATCTTTAAGTCATACCACAGATTCTCAATTGGATTGAGGTCTGGGCTTTGACTAGGCCATTCCAAGACATTTAAATGTTTCTCCTTAAACCACTCAAGTGTTGCTTTAGCAGTATGCTTATGGTCATTGTCCTGCTGGAAGGTGAACCTCCGTCACAGTCTCAAATCTCTGGAAGACTGAAACACGTTTCCCTCAAGAATTTCCCTGTATTTAGAGCCATCCATCATTCCTTTAATTCTGACCAGTTTCCCAGTCCCAGCCGATGAGGGTGTTCTCGGGGTGATGAGAGGTGTTGGGTTTGCGCCAGACATAGCGTTTTCCTTAATGGCCAAAAAGCTCCATTTTAGTCTCATCTGACCAGAGTACCTTCTTCCATATGTTTGCGGAGTCTCCCACATGCCTTTTGCCGAACACCAAACGTGTTAGCTTATTTTTTTCTTTAAGCAATGGCTTTTTCTGGCCACTCTTCCGAAAAGCCCAGCTCTGTGGAGTGTACGGCTTAAAGTGGTCCTATGGACAGATACTCCAATCTCCGCTGTGGAGCTTTGCAGCTCCTTCAGGGTTATCTTTGGTCTCTTTGTTGCCTCTCTGATTAATGCCCTCCTTGCCTGGTCCGTGAGTTTTGGTTGGCGGCCCTCTCTTGGCAGGTTTGTTGTGGTGCCATATTCTTTCAATTTTTTAATAATGGATTTAATGGTGCTCCGTGGGATGTTCAAAGTTTCAGATATTTTTTTATAACCCAACCCTGATCTATACTTCTCCACAACTTTGTCCCTGACCTGTTTGGAGAGCTCCTTGGTCTTCATGGTGCCGCTTGCTTGGTGGTGCCCCTTGCTTAGTGGTGTTGCAGACTCTGGGGCCTTTCAGAACAGATGTATATATACTGAGATCATGTGATAGATCATGTGACACTTAGATTGCACACAGGTGGACTTTATTTAACTAATTATGTGACTTCTGAAGGTAATTGGTTGCACCAGATCTTATTTAGGGGCTTCATAGCAAAGGGTGTGAATACATATGCACGCACCACTTTTCCGTTATTTATTTTATAGAATTTTTTGAAACAAGTTATTTTTTAAATTTTACTTCACCAATTTGGACTATTTTGTGTATGTCCATTACATGAAATCAAAATAAGAATCCATTTAAATTACAGGTTGTAATGCAACAAAATAGGAAAAACGCCAAGGGGGATGAATACTTTTGCAAGGCACTGTAACCAGTAGGTCCCGAAGGTCCTCTGGCACTAGCCTTTTAACTATCCCAAAGCCTAGGACCAAGAGGCATGGAGAGGCAGCCTTTAGTTATATGCCCCCAGCCTCTGGAATAGCCTGCCAGAGAACCTGAGGGGCGGCCGAAACTGTGGACATATTTAAAAGGGATCTTAAAACACACATTTTTAGCTCTGCTTTTCCTTAGGGTGATTTTTATTCTTTAAGTTTTTATTGTTATTATTTAGTTTTCTATCCTCTGATGTTTGTTGTGTAGTAAATATTTTACGTATGTTTATTTTCCTGTGAAGTGCTTTGCATTGCATCCATGTCTGAAATGTGTTATATAAATAAAGCTTGATTGGATTTGATTTGACAGGTTGAATTTGAGTCTTAACCTGCATCAAAGCGTTTCGGTGAGTCTCAGTGCTTTGCCCCCATAGAAGACTGGAATAGCATGTGAGTCCTGCCTCTAGAAGCCTTGGTGATTATTAACCATGCCTCTAAAGCTAGCTGGGTGAGTCTGACTCCTGTCTCTAATGCTAGCTTGGTAAGTCTGACTCCTGCCTCTAGAGCTGTGTGAGTGAGTCTGACTCCTGCCTCTAGAGCTGTGTGGGTGAATCTCTGTCCTGCCTCTAGAGCTATGTGGGTGAGTCTCGGTCCTGCCTCTAGAGCTATGTGTGTGAGTCTCAGTCCTGCCTCTAGAGCTGTGTGAGTGTCTGACTCCTGCCTCTAGAGCTGTGGGGGTGAGTCTGACTTCTTCCTGTAGATCTGTGTGGGTGAGAGCCATGCTACACCACAGGGTGATCTCCCTCAGGAGCGGTGAGCGGTGCTGGGTTAGGCTCTGTTACCCAAACGGCCCATCTGTTCCTGGATCAGATCAGTGGCCTCCTCGGCCCCCAGTCTCTAGAGACACAGAGACACAGCGAGGTTCATGTGTCATTACATTATGTCACCTCTCTCTCTCTCTCTCTCTCTCTCTCTCTCTCTCTCTCTCTCTCTCTCTCTCTCTCTCTCTCTCTCTCTCTCTCTCTCTCTCTCAAACTCATAGTAAGTACATTTTTCCTTAATGAAGAAGTTATCAGCAAAGTCAGTAGTAGTAGGATAAGACAAGTGTGAGTATTAGTGCTAACAAGGCAAGGGTGTTTGTATTTTTCCTTCTCTTTCTCTCTCTCTCTCTCCCTCTCCACATCATCCATAACAGGCATCTCTCTCTGGAGGTTGGACAGAAGCCCACTAGACTCAAGATGCCCACAAGGGATACAGAAGGGAGACATACTCCAACTCCAATCAAACCACACACACAAAGTACAAATACACAGATAATGGACAGACCTCTTCCTCAAATCAATCTGGGCTGATCAAAATAGTAGCAAATTAATATATCTGTAATTATCAAGTCATAGATAACACTTCAAATCGAATGCTGAAATTCAAAATATTATACTGTACTGACTGAAAATACAGTATAAAAGAATTAAAGAGCAAACTGGTTCACTCAATAAGGGCATGAATTACAATATATTAATTGTTCGTTCTTGACAAATATACATTATTAGCAACAGTACAGTAGTATACTCTAGCATCAGATTCCATTGCAGCCATCGCGGCAGCAATAGCAGTAGCAGCCTCCCTCCCAGAGGCATATCAAAGGGTGGGGACACTGTAGCCTTGATCAGATTTCCAGCAGGCCCTCGGCAGCCGATACCTTCCCCCACTCTCCCCCACCCTCCCTGATAACAGAGGACAGGCCTCAAGGTCACCTCCTGGGAAGGGAGAGGAAGGGAAGAGAAGAAGGGATGAGAGGAAGGGAAGGAGAGGGGAGGGGAGGGGAGAGCATCTATGTGAGCTAGAAGCTAGCTACAGTACAGCGTAGCATCATCAGCAGCCCGCTGCTCCAGTACACATAGCGCTCACACAGCATTTCACTGTCACACCACTAGCACTGTCTGCTAGCCTCACAGTGATTCAACCTGACAACCTATGCCATTTGGAGTCTGCTTTTTGATAGAGTGTGTTCAGAATTGTTATATAAGCTAGAGAGAGTGTAGCAGTTTGGATTTCCCATAACAACAAAAGCATAACTAAACAGATTCAGGTTGATAAATGTATTGAGCGTAGTTAGTAAATTAAGCGTTTATACACTGCTCAAAAAAATTAAGGGAACACTAAAATAACACATCCTAGATCTGAATGAATGAAATAATCTTATTAAATACTTTTTTCTTTACATAGTTGAATGTGCTGACAACAAAATCACACAAGAATTATCAATGGAAATCAAATGTATCAACCCCTGGAGGTCTGGATTTGGAGTCAACCTCAAAATTAAAGTGGAAAACCACACTACAGGCTGATCCAACTTTGATGTAATGTCCTTAAAACAAGTCAGAATGAGGCTCAGTAGTGTGTGTGGCCTCCACGTGCCTGTATGACCTCCCTACAATGCCTGGGCATGCTCCTGATGAGGTGGTGGCTGGTCTCCTGAGGGATCTCCTCCCAGACCTGGACTAAAGCATCCGCCAACTCCTGGACAGTCTGTGGTGCAACGTGGCGTTGGTGGATGGAGCGAGACATGATGTCCCAGATGCGCTCAATTGGATTCAGGTCTGGGGAACGGGCGGGCCAGTCCATAGCATCAATGCCTTCCTCTTGCAGGAACTGCTGACACACTCCAGCCACATGAGGTCTAGCATTGTCTTGCATTAGGAGGAACCCAGGGCCAACCGCACCAGCATATGGTCTCACAAGGGGTCTGAGGATCTCATCTCGGTACCTAATGGCAGTCAGGCTACCTCTGGCGAGCACATGGAGGGCTGTGCGGCCCCCCAAAGAAATGCCACCCCACACCATGACTGACCCACCGCCAAACCGGTCATGCTGGAGGATGTTGCAGGCAGCAGAACGTTCTCCACGGCATCTCCAGACTCTGTCACATCTGTCACGTGCTCAGTGTGAACCTGCTTTCATCTGTGAAGAGCACAGGGCGCCAGTGGCGAATTTGCCAATCTTGGTGTTCTCTGGCAAATGCCAAACCTCCTGCACGGTGTTGGGCTGTAAGCACAACCCCCACCCGTGGACGTCGGGCCCTCATACCACCCTCATGGAGTCTGTTTCTGACCGTTTGAGCAGACACATGCACATTTGTGGCCTGCTGGAGGTCATTTTGCAGGGCTCTGGCAGTGCTCCTCCTGCTCCTCCTTGCACAAAGGCGGAGGTAGCAGTCCTGCTGCTGGGTTGTTGCCCTCCTACGGCCTCCTCCACATCTCCTGATGTACTGGCCCGTCTCCTGGTAGCGCCTCCATGCTCTGGACACTACGCTGACAGACACAGCAAACCTTCTTGCCACAGCTCGCATTGATGTGCCATCCTGGATGAGCTGCACTACCTGAGCCACTTGTGTGGGTTGTAGACTCCGTCTCATGCTACCACTAGAGTGAAAGCACCGCCAGCATTCAAAAGTGACCAAAACATCAGCCAGGAAGCATAGGAACTGAGAAGTGGTCTGTGGTCACCACCTGCAAAACCAGTCCTTTATTGGGGGTGTCTTGCTAATTGCCTATAATTTCCACCTGTTGTCTATTCCATTTGCACAACAGCATGTGAAATGTATTGTCAATCCGTGTTGCTTCCTAAGTGGACAGTTTAATGTCACAGAAGTGTGATTGACTTGGAGTTACATTGTGTTCCCTTTATTTTTTTGAGCAGTGTATAATAGCCTAATGCTTTGAGATTTGTCTTGGTTTTTAAACCCAAACATATTTGGTTAACAAATTGCTAATCAATACACACACCTAAAGCTAGCCCCTAGAAATACCACAGATCAATCTGTCTTGGGTCCACTGCTGTGTCAAATCTGACTAGACATGAAACGTTCCATAGGAAGAACACATCCTTACAACCTTGTGGTTGCTAGCATGGGTTTGAATCCGGCCATTACTCTTTCAGCACACTGTCCTACATTTCCTCTCTACCTCTTTCTGTCCTAGCCAACAAAGAAAGAATATGTAAGGAGTGGGACTGCCCCAACAACAACAACAACCCTGTGGCCGATCAAGGACCAGGATGGACCAGGGACAGCCAAATGTTTGTGGAGTGTCATGGATGTTTCTTCCCCTTCTAGATTATGCCTCTCTGTAGAAGCGCCTCTGCCTATACATAGACTACACTATGCGTGTAGGGCCCTGCAGCCACTAGGGGGCCCCAACCAAAATATTCAGTAGGGGTCTCAACTTACTGTTGAGAGTTAGAAAAGTAGAATACACAAGGTGCAATTTTGAAATTTGGTAAAGCATCAGCATTATACGTGCGTGGCTGCATCGGGGGCACCCGCGCGGGAGGATTCTGCTCTCCGACCGGCGGCTAGATGCCCTGCAGTGGTATACAAAGTCGGGGTCGCAAACCCTACTGGGGTCGCGGTGATATTGCAGTGGGGTCCAAAATGTTGAATAAATGAAAAAATACAATAAAACATTTTGAATACAGATTATTGTATGGGACAATATACACACGTTTTTGAGGAAGATAATAAAAAAAGTTTAAAAAATTCAAAAGTCAATATATTTATTGGTTTCTTTTCATTTTGATAAGAAATGAAAATGCAATGAATTTAAGGTTATTTGTTGATGTAAAAATCGAAATCAAGGTTGACGTTTATTGTCATGAATCTTGCCCTGGAGGCAGAAATGTGTGATTTCCGCTAGATGTGCCAGCTGCAAAATCTAAATAGGCTATATTGTAAAAATTAATGAAAACCCAAAAAACTTTTGGGTCTTCATTTAAGGTTAGGGTTAGGCATTAGGGTTAGCAGTGTGGTTAAGGTTTGCGTTATGGCAGGTAGCCTAGCAGTTAAGAGCGTTGGGCCAGTTACTGAAAGGTCGCTGGTTCAAACCCTGAGCAAATCTGTCAATGTGCTCTTGAGCAAGGCACTTAACCCTAATTGCTCCTGTAAGTCGCTCTGGATAAGAGCGTCTGCAAAATGACTAAAATGTTCAAAATCTGATTTTATGACTTTGCGACTGTGCCAGCTAGGGACCTGTAAAAAAGCAGGTGCAGGTGGTACGTTTAATAAAACAATGAACATGGAACGATACAAAACAGGAGTAGCGTCTGGACATGAAACACATCATCAATACTGCCTGGGGAATTAACTTAAGGGAGTGACAGATATAGGGGAAGTAATCAGTGAAGTGATGGAGTCCAGGTGAGTCTCATGATGAGGCGCGTAATGATGGTTGTCATAGCCAGTGATTAGTAAACCGGCGACGTCGAGCGCCGGAGAGGGGGAGGGGGAGTCGATGTGACAGTACAACCCTCCACCGACGCGTGGCTCCAGCCGCAGGACGACGGCCCCGAGGGCGAGGAGCGGGCCGGTCGGCAAAGGTGTAAATCACGGATGATGTTGGGATCCAGAATGTCCTCCACTGGAACCCAACACCGCTCCTCTGGACCGTACCCCTCCCAGTCCACCAGGTACTGGAGCTGACCCCCACGACGTCGGGAGTCCAGTAGGGATCTGATGGCATAGGCGGGACCTCCCTCGACGTCCAGGGGGAGTGGAGGGATGTCGTGGGAACAGCCTCAGCCAGGGGACCAGGAACCACCGGCTTGAGAAGGGAGACATGAAAGGAAGGTGAGATACGGTAGTCACTGGGGAGCTGTAATCTATGACCCTCCGGAGAATCTTGAACGACCCCACAAACCGGTGCCTCAGCTTCTTGCAGGGCAGGCGGAGTGGTAGGTTCCTGGTAGAGAGCCAGACACGATCACCAGGATAGAACACAGAGTCTCACTGTGGTGGCGGTCCGCCTGCTCCTTCTGACGGTGGACAGCGCGCTGGAGTCTCATGTGGTTATCGCTCCACACTTAATCTGCGCGCCTGAACCACTCATTCACCGCAAGAGCTTCGGTCTGGCCCGGGGTCCACGGAGTCAGGGCCGGCTGATAACCCAGAATACACTGGAAGGGAGTCAGCCCGGTGGAGGAGTGACGTAACGAATTCTGGGCGTACTCCACCCATGGAAGGAATCGGGCCCACTCCCCCAGCCGGTCCTGGCAGTGACTCCTCAGGAACCTCCCCAGCTCCTGGTTCATCCTCTCCACCTGCCCATTAGACTGAGGCCTATACCCGGAAGTGAGGCTGACCGTGACCCCGAGCTTCTCCATGAAGGCTCTCCATACCCGTGATGTGAATTGGGGCCACGGTCGGAGACGATGTCGTCTGGAAGGTCATAATGTCAGAAGACCTGCTGGAAAGTGCCTCAGTGACCTGGAGAGCAGTAGGGAGACCAGAGAGAGGGATGAAACTACAGGATTTGGAGAATCTATGCACAACCACCAAAATGGTGGTGAAACCATCAGAGGGGAGATCAGTGACAAAATCAATGGATAGATGAGACCAGGGACGCTGAGGCATGGGAAGGGGAAGGAGTTTCCCTGCTGGAGCGTGCCAGGGGGATTTAGTTTGAGGATATACGGAACAGGAGTTGACGTAGCGAATAACGTCCTGCGCCAAGGCAGGCCACCAATACTTCTCGGAGATGGATTGAGTAGTACGAGTAATACCTGGTTGTCCAGCGACAACAGCTGAGTGTGCCCAGGTCAGCAGCCGATCCCTTATCCCTGTGGGAACGTAGATACGCTCTGGAGGACAGGTAGTGGGTGCAGGTTCCCTCTCCAGAGCCTGGCGAATGTCCACATCTACGTCCCAGACCACAGGGGCTACGACTCAAGAAGAAGGAACTATGGGTGCATTCATTCCTCTGTAATCAATACACGGGCGTAATCCTCTATCCTTCTTAGCCACAAAGAAGAAGCCTGCAGATGCAGGAGAGGTGGACGTGCGGATGAAACCTTGTTGGAGCGCCTCATGGATGTACTCCTCCATGGCCTTGGTCTCAGCCACCGACAGAGGGTAGATGCGTC